TGTTCTGTTTCTTCCTTCCTTTTTTATTGACTCAAGCTAGATTATTTTGTAACCAGAAAACATAATAAATCTATTTCACTTGGAGAAAAAAGAATTCAAGTTATGTACATATGTGTGTGTGTGTATACATATATATATGTAATAAACAAAATTTTCCAGTTAATAGAGAGGCCTCATTGACTTGCTTAAATTAATTTGTACCCTGTTGAAAACGTTTTCTACTGACTGCACAGGAAATAGCAGCTTTCAAACAGCATATTAAAATTTAAAAACATATCCTTACAAACAAAACCAGTGTGCTTTCAGATGATTTATAAATTGGTGGATATAAAGAATCTATAGTGAGGTGGTCAGTGTTTTACTTGTGGCCATTTTCGATAAGTGAATCACTATCCCTTTCTTATTCCTGGCTTAACTCACAGTATTAAGTGTCAGATGGCTGAGAACTTCATAGAAGATTGCTGGATGGCTTTCACTCTGGCTTCAAAGGACAGACTTTATGCAGACCCTAAATTCAGCTGAATCTTACCGTTCAGATGAACTTTAGAAATCAGTAACTTCGCAGGTTAGCCTGTCTTTTGTTCAAAAGTCTTTATTTAAATTCTATTCTGAAGTTTCATGGTGCAACTCAGAAATAATCCATAAATTAGAGTTGTCCCTGTTATCCCACTGATGAAAATGAGACTCAATAGATGAAATATTTATTTAATTATGACACTGGTGAGATATCCCCGGGATCTGTTGTTCATGTACTATATGTCTGTTACCCCAGCAGCCCCTAGTGCTCAGCATCTTCCAGTGGAGACAGTGGTGAGGGTCTGTGGGTGACTGTGAATCACTGCAACACCCCTGAAATCGGTGTCATTTTTCCCTCACGAAGAGCATAGTTTACAGGATGCCAAGCAGTCACCACCAGGAGAAAGAGGCCTTTTCACTCCCTGCCTTCTGTTACAAGTTCACTGCACCACCCATACAAGCCCCTCAGAATAATCCCAGAACTCAGGGACAAAGTATGCAGAAGTTAGTCCCCAGACATTCAGCTGTCCCTGCTAGGGAGTCATACTCTAAATATAGACCCTTCAGGCAGCCTCTTTCTTAGAACGTTGAAATATGACACCCCAGCAGGAAGCTCCCCCTGCGAGGGGCCCCTGTGTGGGGGAGGCCCTTTCAGGAGGTGAGCCAGGGAGCCCAGAGTGCCTTGCTGGAGAATATTCAGAAGTCAAGAACACATCACAACTTTCTGTCTTCCTTAAAACGTTTATAGTCCGAACTCCTTCACAAGTATCACACCCCTTTTCTTTAAAAACGCTTACCACATTCGTTCTGCATCATCTCCTTCTACCATTCTTTCTGTCTCCCTTTACTTTCTTCTCCTAGACAAGCGAATTCTATTTATGAAGCTTTACTAACAAATCTAACTGTCCATCATTCAATTTTTGGCTGCTAAGTAATTATATAAGTGGCTTTTGTTTGTTTTGAATGTATACATTAGAAAGAACTAAGGAATTTGTAAAGCTTAACAAAGCCTCAAGGACAAAAGCGCCACTCTTCCCTCTCCTTACTAGTATAAAGGATCTCCCTCCCCCACTTTGGTATGTTTTCCGGTTATTCCAATGTGTAACTCCCCGACCACCATTTTCCCAGTCTGTCAGACTTTTCCCTGTCAGACCTTTCCCGTTTGAATCCATTCCCTCTCTTAAACGTCCCATACTCCATGGAAATGATAACCCTTTCAATTTCTCTCACTTCTTTGTCATTTAGATCCACAATTTCTACCGGGGAACCTAGAAGCTAGCATTTAAAATCTATTTTGCTCCCCATTATACATCCATCAACAACTATTTAAGGGCATGCTATTTGCCTGACATACCGTTTCAAAAGCAAAAAAGGAAAATCCTTAAGCAGTTCCTCAGACAAGCCTGTTAAAAGTTCCTGAGCCTGCAGAAGGCTATGTGAAGCCACTGCTGAAAGGAACCTTTTGGCTCAAATTGGTATGTGGTCCCAGGTGATAGTTGTCTTAGACAGTGCCACCAAACAAAAAAGGATCAGCAGATGCTAACACTAATGGGATTATAGAGAGTGAGAAAAAAATAGAGAGAGAAGATCTTTATTTTAAAAAGCTATATTACTTTTTGTATTGTGTTATTTGTTTTTGTGTTGTGTATTAGTTAATTTTGTTTCGTTGCAGGCAACAGAACCCAAACCTGGTTTAACTGAAACAATGAGGGAGTGTTGCAGACCAGCATCAGCTCTGAGGGGGATAGGTAGGAGGAATTCACAGACAGTCTCTTCAGGATGCTATCGTTCTGCTGTTTTTTAAAATCTGCATTCTAGATTTAAATTTTAGTAAGAGAGTATTGAGTTGGTCTCTTTTGGGCACAATGCCCACCCTTTTGCTGGGGGGAAAGAGGGGGGATGTAAAATGTAAAATGCACTTCCTTTCTTTTCCCAGAGAGAAATGTAAATTGTTTCAGACAGTTGATTTGCTGGAGCCTTTTCTTTTTTTTATTTGAGAGTGAGAGAGAGCACAGAGAGAGAGGGAGAGGGAGAAGCAGACTCCCCGCTGAGCACAGAGCTGGTCGCAGGGCTTGATCCCAGGATCCTGAGGTCATGACCTGAGCCAAAGGTTCAACCAACCTGAGCCACCCAGGCGCCCCTTGCTGGAGCCTTTTAACGACTTTGGATGTTAACCCATTGTCCAGCCATGAATGAGATGCTGGGGGCCTGTGTGCCACAAAATGTCTTAGTTGTGGTTTTCACATTCACTAAACATCAGAGAGGTATAGTTCAGAAATGGTGATGCACAGGATCATATTCTAAGCCAGAGTGACCTGGCTTTCCTGACAGGATTCCTTAGGGTTGTATTTATAGTTCAGCGTCTTGCCCTCATTGTTGCATGATCAATCCCTGACTTTATCTGAAAGCAGAGGTCTCTATCAAGAAAAGACCCCCATTCATAGAGACTTGAATATAAATCTAGATCTGAACACCCGAACCCATGCATCTCTGCATTCCCCACCCCCTTTAAGTGGGCCAAAAGGGAAGCTAAGTACCGATAGGAGTGACAAGTGAATAATTTACCCTGAGAAATACAACTGTCAGAGGGTACTGAATGTTTTTGTCAGTTTTAACAGTCCATTCTCTCTGTAAGCAAGCTACTACTTAAGAAGCCACAATGTCATGCGGCGCCTGGGTGGCTCAGTCGTTAAGCGTCTGCCTTCAGCTCAGGTCATGATCCCAGGGTCCTGGGATTGAGCCCCGCATCGCATTGGGCTCCCTGCTCGGCGGGAGGCCTGTTTCTCCCTCTCCCACTCCCCCTGCTTGTGTTCCTTTTCTCGCTGTGTCTCTCTCTATCAAATAAAAAAATAAAATCTTAAAAAAAAAAAAAAAAAAAAGAAAAGAAGCCGCAACCTCAGAAGTTGCTTGGTGAGCCTGCAATCAGAGCAAGGGCACTGGTTCACCTTAAGAAGTGGCTTTCAGTTAAGGAAGCTCGAAGTACTCTTACACATTATGGGGATGGCTCTGCCAAGAAAAGCTGAATGTTCCATTCATCTTAGCCAGGACTCCCTCTCCCCAGACAGGGCTTGGGTGGGAAACTACCAACCCTTAGTCCTCTGACTCTTCTTTTCACACATTCCCATGCTTGAATAAGCCCCATGTTGCACATGATCTTTCTCTGAACACAGAATCACGTAGTTGATTTGGTTTTCTGTTTGCTAAATTTCAGTCATATCCTAGTACTGCCTCCTAGAAGTTACACAGAACTTCTCCGGAGTTCTGCCTATACCCAAACTCTCCAGTCTCTTGATTTACTCCCGTACTGTCTGTGGATTGTACAAGTTATACTTAGATAATAGCCTTATATCTGAACTATTAAGGACTATCCCACTGTAGATCCCAACGTTCTGACATTATTTTTATTACTTTTCCCAATATAAAAAAAAGGTTCAGTCATTGCTGACAGGTGAATCATTGAGCTCACCAAACCAGTCAGTGAAATGTCTCCACACTAATGACTAGAAGCTAGAGGCCAAGTTCAGCCAATTTTATCTTCATCTCAGTGTTTTTCTAATATTTATTTCAAGGTGATATTCTCTCTTTGTATCCAAGTATTTTTGTAATATTCTTTTATGCTTCTTACTTTGTCAGTGTGCATGCCTTTTTGGACAGGTACCCACTATGTACCTGTGACTTCTACTCAACCTTTTCTGTGTTACTGCCTTCTGAGGGCTCCATGCCTCTTCCTTGCTAACCGATGCAAGTGAAAGTCTGTCGCCCTCCTGTTGAGAACACGGGCCTAGTCAGAAGATTTATGCAATCTCAGACACTCTAATGAGCTCATTCAGGGTTGTGTTACGTGCTAGGCCTCAAGACATTAAGATTGTTTGGAGTGAGGTGTGTAACACTCCCCACGAGTGAGAAAATGTGGGGCTTTTGGAGGCCATCACCCAACATCATTCTCCCAACTCCCACTCTTCACCCCCCCTCAAATGAGAATAGCTATACAGTAATTTTTTTTTCTCACAAAAGAATGCTGGCTGGGGGCAGGAGAGGGCAGGACAAAAAGAACAAAAAAAGTATTAAGAAAGTAAAAAAAAAAAAAATAAACAAAAAAAAACCAAACCACACTCTCACTCCAGGTCTCCTTTTCTGATGGCTTTTTCGTTCCAGATCTGGGACTAGATTTCAGAGGAAATGGTAGACATTAACAGCTGGGAGGAGGGGAGGTTGAAGGAGAGGTTGCTGTCCCAGGAGCTTAGGGAAGGAAGAGGCAATTTTTCAAAAAAGTACAAGTGGCCAGTAGCCCCTGGGGAAGATGCTGTCCCTTCCTGGTAATCCGAGGAAGGCAAACACAACTACGGGGAGATGGGATTAGCAAAGAAGAAAGAGTAACCAGGCCTGGTGTGGGGGAGGGAATGGAGGGGGGCGGGCCCTCTTCTGCCGCACTGCTGGTGGGAGGGGAAATTAGGGACCCGAGTTGGTGGATGACGTAGCTCTCACGTGACCAAGAGCTGACGTGTGCAGAAGTCCTTCTTGTTCTGGTCCTTGTTCCCGTCTGAGTACCAGCTCCCCATTGCCCTGAGGGCCAGCGGGCCTGCGGCAGAGGGAAGGAGGAGGAGAAGAAGCAAATTGTCCCGGATTCTTGCAGGTCAGTGCCTGGGAGATTCCATAAGGTGGGGGGGCCAAGGGCGTAGGGCGGAGACCGTCGCGGGTCCTGAGGCGCCTCCGCCGTCTCTTCCCCTCGCCGCCAGCTTTCCAAGACATCTGTCCCGCCCGCAGCCCATTTCGATGCTGCGAAATGGTGAGCAGGGGGCTGGTTGGGGAGGAGCCCAGAGAACGGGTGTTGGGAATCTGCTGGGAGCCGAGGCCGTAATCCGGAAAGAGAGCTGTGGCCTGGGTGTTGGCCCCCCAGTCCTTCAGGACGGCGCCGGCGGGGAAAGGCTGGACATTTGGGGAGGGGGAAGGTGCAATGTGATGTCGGCAGAACCCTGAGGGGGGTTAATAGGGGTGAGAAACCTTTGACAACCAGGCCTCTGAATTAGGAAAGAGTTTCGTGCTCTGGGGACTGGTCGTCCACCAAGCGCTCAGTAGCGGCCGTTTCCCGTCTTTCTGACTGTGGCTGTGTCTTCCTGACCATGGCTCTGTGTCTAGGGGGTCCGAGCCTCTCCTGGGTTGCCAGTCTTTCCGTAGGTTGCGGCACTACGCCAGGCAAGAGAAGAGGAAGGAAATTAACCCCAATCGGTGAAGGTCGATTTGAGGGTAAGGCTATCTGGGGACCCTAAGAGGGGCGGTGGTGGGGGGTAGGGAGAAGCCAGAGATGGCAATAATCTAGGTTAGGGCTGAGGCTGAGTGTGTTTCTTGCACTCTCGGGACTGTGGTGAAATGGCGTTCGGGGTGTGTGTGTGTGTGTGTGTGTGTGTGTCGCGGGGGGTGGGGTGGGGGTGGGGGTTGGGGAGAATGATAGAAGGAAAACCTATCAGAGAGTTTGTTCATAATCCTCCTCTCTCAACAGCACTTAGTCCCCATGTTTTCGATCTGTCATCCTGCAGGTCTGCTGTAGCAGGTGGCACCACTTGAAGCGAGGGAGGAAGTTTCCTCGGATCAGTAGAGGTCGGTGTAGGCGTGGGGGCTGCCTGGAATGGGGGAGGGGCTGGAAATCAGCCACAGTTGGACAAGCTCACCCAATCCTACCTTATTTCTCTAATATCCCTCCCGTTTCGGGTCAGGGAAGGGGCAGGTTTATGCATGTTTTGGATGGCATAGAGGTGAAAAATCTCTGACAGCCTGGATGGTGAATCAGGAAACGTGAACTGTCAATCCATCAAGTTCTCAGTTTTCCCTGGCTCTGGTCTCTTGCAGATTGCAAGGGTTGTTGGGCGTGGCACACCTCCAGGGGAGGGAAAAAGGGACAGACTGCCTGTCTGGAGGAGGTTAGTGCAACAGTGCCACTCCCTGGGGACACCCGAGGTTGGGGTGGCTGAGGCCCCAGCAGAGACTAAGGGCTCCATTGCGTTTATCTAGGCTTGGGGAGAGGGTGGGCTGGGGAGGGTAGAGGGAGGGTGAAAGGAGGAGGATATAGAGGGTTTGTTAACAATCTACATTTCCTACCAACTATTCATTTATGACTCTCCTGTCCTTCTGTGCAACTCTCTGCATGGGGCAACACAGAAGAGAAACTCAAACCCCATTTCCTTCCTCCGCCCCCAGGTCCACCTCCAGTGTCAGCTACTGTGGCCTTGAAGTGGCTGAAGACAATCACCTTCCACAGGCCTGCACCCAGGCCCATAGCCCTCCTCTCCCAGCCTGAGTGAATACTCTGTTCCTTGGTCCCTGCTATTGTCAGGGACGATTGCATGGGCTACGCCAGGAAAGTAGGCTGGGTGACTGCGGGACTGGTGATTGGGGCTGGAGCCTGCTATTGCATCTATAGACTGACCCGGGGAAGAAAACAGAACAAGGAGAAAATGGCTGAGGGTGGGTCTGGGGATGTGGATGATGTTGGGGACTGCCCTGGGGCCCGGTACAATGACTGGTCTGATGATGATGATGACAACAGTGAGAACAAGGGCATAGTGTGGTACCCACCTTGGGCCCGGATTGGGACTGAGGCTGGAACCAGAGCAAGGGCCAGAGCAAGGGCCAGGGCTACCCGGGCTCGCCGGGCTGTTCAGAAACGGGCTTCTCCCAATTCAGATGATACTATTTTGTCCCCGCAAGAGCTGCAGAAAGTTCTTTGCTTGGTTGAGATGTCTGAAAAGCCTTATATTCTCGAAGCAGCTTTAATTGCTCTGGGTAACAATGCTGCTTATGCATTTAACAGAGATATTATTCGTGATCTGGGTGGCCTCCCAATTGTAGCAAAGATTCTCAATACTCGGGATCCCATAGTTAAGGAAAAGGCTTTAATTGTGCTGAATAACTTGAGTGTGAATGCTGAAAATCAGCGCAGGCTTAAGATATACATGAATCAAGTGTGTGATGACACGGTCACTTCTCGCTTGAACTCATCGGTGCAGCTGGCTGGACTAAGATTGCTTACAAATATGACTGTTACTAATGAATATCAGCACATGCTTGCTAATTCCATCTCAGACTTTTTTCGCCTATTTTCAGCGGGAAACGAAGAAACCAAATTTCAGGTTTTGAAACTCCTTTTGAATTTGGCTGAAAATCCAGCCATGGCTAGAGAACTGCTCAGGGCCCAAGTGCCCTCTTCGCTTGGTTCCCTCTTTAATAAGAAGGAGAACAAAGAGGTTATTCTTAAACTTCTGGTCATATTTGAGAACATAAATGACAATTTTAAATGGGAAGAAAATGAACCTACTCAGAATCAATTCAGCGAAGGTTCACTGTTTTTCTTTTTAAAAGAATTTCAAGTGTGTGCTGACAAGATTCTGGGGATAGAAAGTCACCATGATTTTTTGGTGAAAGTAAAGGTTGGGAAATTCATGGCCAAACAGGCCGAGCATATGTTCCCAAAGAGCCAGGAATAACTTCTTGATTTTGTAGTTTAGAAGCAACACACATTGTAAAACTATTCCTTTTTCTCCACCTTGTTTATATGGTAAAGGAACCCTTTCAGCTGCCAATTTTGAGTGATGAATATCATTGTATCGTCAACGCTGATGTTTATCTGAGTCGGTTTTCAGGTTTAAGCTGGATGAATGGATATCACTACCTGTTCTGAAAACATGTTTGTTGCTTTTTATCTCGCTGCCTAGATTGAAATATTTTTACTATTTCTTTTGCGTGACAGTGAACCGGTTGGTCATAAGTAAGCTCCCTCCTGTCATTTGCATTAACTTTGTGTATCATCAATAAAGTTGTGTGTTAATGCTGAAAAAAAAAAAAGAAAAAAGAAAGAGACCATCCTTGTCCTTTGGTTTTATAATCTAGTTGGAGAGATAAGAAATATACAAACAAAAAGATAACAGGATATCTGGAGCATATACTCATTGTCAAAAGTGTGCTCTCAGAGCATAGAGGAAGCAAAAGCTTCTGGGGGATATAATAGTCAGCTACGGATTCCTAGAAGAAGCGGACCATCTAAAATGATTCCTGAATGGGGTAGGTCCTTAGGCTTTCCAAGAGCGGGAGTGAGGGGGCACTAGGCTGAGAAAGGCATGGAGGTAGGAACCCTTTTCCTATGACAGTGAGGAGACTAGTCTACTTAGGGTGGAGAGTGTGGGGAATGGAAGTAAATAAATTTGGAAAGCTGAGCGAAGCCACTTTGTGGAGAACTGTTTGAATAGTATCCCACTGAACACCAAGAGCCATTAAATATTTTTGACTAGAAAGAATAATTGGAATTCATATAGAGGCCTCTCTCACCAGCTGTGCAGTGTCTATGAGGGTGTGGAAAAATGGATCCTACCAAACCCTGGTGGTAGGAATGAGTTTACATTGAGTTTGTACGGGTATGTGGAGGGCCGTTTGGTAATACATATAAGCCTTAAAGTATGTAAACCCTTTGTCCTAAGGAAATAATTGAATAATTGGCTAAAGACTGTATGTACAAGGCTATTCATCCCAGTACTGTCCAAAACAGTAAGAATCAGAAGCAACTCTAAGTGTCTAGCACACCGGATTGGTTCAATAAATTGAGGAACGTTCACACGGTATATATGTTAGCTATGTTGATTCAAATCCATATTGCCAGGAAAAGATATTCATTCTGCATTGTTATATGAGAAAAGTAGGTTAGATAGCAGTGTTCGTAGAATGGTTCCATTTCTTTTTTGAATTAGTAAAACATATTTTAAAGTAGACACTACTATGGAATTATAGTTATCTAAACAGTAACTGGTATATTTGAGTGGAAGGATAATGAGTGATCTTCACCTTTTTACTTTTTATTCATCCACGTGTTCTTATTTATATAAAATGGATATTGGTTTTTTGGAAATTTTTGAAAAAGGAAGTGTTGGGAATGAAGCAGGTGGGTGGAGCATGTACCGAGTAGAAAACAATTTAGATTACAAATGAGATGGGTTAAAGTTGCCTCTCTGAAATGCTAGATGAGTGATGAAGATGGGGTTTGTCATGACGGTTAAACATGCAAAATACTTAGAATGTTCTGGCCACAGAGCAGTTAGCTAAGAAAAATGAGCACCCTTAATTCCCTAGAATGCAGGGTTGATAGTTTTTTGTTTGTTTGTTTTTGTTTTTTTGGTTGACTTTTATTTTGCTGGGGGCATTCTGCCATGTGTCAGTGTCATTTAATAAATAATAGCAACAATAAAGGTTAGCATTTATTAAGTGACTAGTGTGTAGAGTTCTGTCATTCCTGCAAGACAACTGTTAAAATAATTTCTCAGAGGAATAAGGTTTTCTTATTTCCCAGGACTCAGTGTTTCCTCAGACATGATCTCACCAGCCTCCACAACATATTCCTAGTGAGATCAGGAAAGGGTAAAATCCTCTGTGCAGTGGCCTTCTGCTTCCAGCCCCAGGCTTCCATATACTTACCTTAATGTTGTCTATATTAGATAAAAGGGTCAGGGATTCGTTGGCTTCAAGTTGTTGCATATGGTGACCCTATTGAATCACGTACAAGTGGAGACTCATTTGACACTTGTTTTACTGGTGGGAGTGGGAAAAGGCAGTTAACATTTTTCTTGCTCTGTTATTAGGTAGGAGAAAAAGATTTGGGAGGGGAAGGCTAATCCACTTAAAATAAATTGAGTTTGAGGAATCTTTGTGATACCCAGATGGAGACAGCCTATTGTCATTTCAGTGTATTCAGCTGGCACTCAGAGGGGGGAAAAAAAAAGATTTGGGAGCCACCAGAGGATTAATGGTAATTGAGGACGTGGGAGTGGATGTGATTCCCAGAGAGGAGGTACAGAGTGTAACAGTGTAAGGAACTGTGGCAACTGAGGAGAGAAGCGCAGAATTGAAACTGAGTGTAAGCCCTTGCAGACGCTTTTACTATCCCTATTTCTATATATTCTCTACATAAAATTAGATGATACTGTAACTAAATTTTTGGAGCCTGATTTAAATTTTTTTAAATTTTCTCCTAAAAAATATTCATTGGAGATACTTCAGAAAATAGGGACAATGAGACTTGTTTTCTAGCCCAGATGTGTAGCTTGAACACCTAAAAAAATATTCACAGGGCACCTGGGTGGCTCAGTCGGTTAAGCATTTGCTTAGGTCATGATCCTGGGGTCCTGGAATCCAGCCCCTGCTTTGCTGGGCTCCCTGCTCAGCGGGGAGTCTGCTCTCCCTCTGTCCCTCCCCCTGCTCCTACACACCCTCTCTCTCTCTCTCTCTCTCTCTCAAATGAATAAAAAAAAAACCCTTAGAAAATATTCACATCAAGCCATGTTGAATTTGGGGTGCTGAGTGATTACTTAACCTCATTTTTTTTAAAAGATTTTATTTATTTATTTGACAGAGAGAGACACAGCGAGAGAGGGAATACAAGCAGGGGGAATGGGAGAGGGAGAAGCAGGCTTCCCGCGGAGCAGGGAGCCCAATGCGGGGCCCGATGCGGGGCCCGATGCGGGGCCCGATCCCAGGACCCTGGAATCATGACCTGAGCCGAAGGCAGACGCTTAACGACTGAGCCACCCAGGCGCCCCTACTTAACCTCATTTTAACTGTGGGTAAAAATGAGGTTAAGTCATAAAAAGCCACCATGTGGCAGGGGCACAGGCCTGACCAGCCTCCATCTGCTCTCAGCAGATTTCTCCTCCTTTTCTTCCTTGCCATTCTTTTCCCCTCTCCCTGCCTCCCACTTCAGTCTTGATTGCCTCCTGCTGGGGGATCACTGGCTGTAGTCTCTTTGTGCTTCTGTGACCATTTAATCCCCATGCCACCAGGTCACGCACCAGTGGGCATTTAATACAGAGTAATAATTGTCATTGCTGTGGTAATGTGGCGACCCAGGGTGTGACCGGATGCCAAACATTTTCTGGAAGTCTTGTTGAACAGAGACCGAGAAGGAACTAGTCTGAGCGTGGCACAGCCCTAGGGTGCACCGCATGTACTTGGGATGTCCCATGCCTGGTGTTACTTGGAACCAAATCGCCTGGACTTTGGGAAGTGCTGTGTGAGACAGATGTGTGACAGCCTGGTCCAGGCAGGCCACATGGCTGGCCAAGTCACTCGCTGATGTCCTGATGTTTTCACATTGGAGGTTGCCACTCTCAGTCATCTGGGGAAGCCTATGGCTCTAGGATTGTGGCCATGACTGTGGCAGATCACGGGGACAGGGAGGACCAAGTGTGCTCGCTCTCTTTAGAGATGATGGCAGCTCCCGGGAAGCCGAGGAAATTAGAAACTGGCAGGATATTTGGTTTTGTTCTCATCTAAAGGTTTTAGGAATTTAAGTGGGTCTACCCCAGTCAAATGTGTTCAAAGGTAATTTCACAAAAATGGAGTATAGTTCTCTTATAAATTGTCACCCAAAGCATAATATTTCAAGACTCAGAAAACTGGCTTTCTTTTTTTAAATTCGTATTTTACTTGCCTTGTTTCAATAAACATCCCAAGTGTGGGTTTAGCAAATTGCTGTGGTTCAGGCAAATTTTGTGTTTATACCTCTTTTTTGGTTAATTTCTCTGCTAAGTTCCCTTGAAAATGGTTTTTCTAAGAATGATTATGACTATTTTCAGTGTTATCTTTGTACATTTGATTTACATCACATCCCATGCTGAAGGTTTTTTCTGGTTTCTCTATTTGAACTGTGGCTCTTCCTTGCCTTTAAACAAGAACTATCTTGCTACCATCCTAGGGTACAGAAAACTAGGATAATGGCCCCTGGTTTGCCCTGCCCTGAGCTGTGGTTTTAAGCAGGATAACAGATATTTATATTTCAGAATGGTGTACTGCCACACTTGATCTTGTCCATTGGGTCCCCCAAAGGCCTTGTGTTAAGGGTTTGGACAATGTGTGTGTTTGTGGATAGGCCTGGGGGGAGGGAGAAGGGAGGTGGGGAGAGCAGAAAGCCCTATCGGAGGGGTAAGTTTATCCTTACAGGTTCATGCACATATAATTCAGTCCACCATTGAGATTGGGCTTAGTGTAACTCTCTGGCCCTGTTGACCATTGAAAGGGTAAGTGTAATAATACAAGATCTTTGTTTGGGCACAGAGTCCCCTGTTTACTGAGCATTTCTAAGTTTGCAGAGTAAAGAACATACTATCAAGTGGGGCAGAATTTCTTTTTGAAAAAAAAAAAAAGTGATAATTTCTGTTGAAAAATAATTTCCAAGTAGACCAGATTCTTAGTGTTTGCTGCTCAGAACGTTCTCTCCTTACCATCAATCTATATCAGAAACCAAATTATCATCAGAAGATTATTTATTTAGTGCCCAGGGAATCGGGGCAAGCTGACTTAGCTAGATGTTGGTGCAGTCAAAGGAGAACCTGGTGCATCCATGTCTGCTCTGGGGATTGACTTGTTGCTGAAATCAAATACTTGTATTCAATAGTTAGAGCATTTTTCTCCCTGGACACAAATAAAAAGTTTGTCTGTTTGGCTACCCCCTTGACAGAGGCAGAATATCTGTGCATGGCAGTTTTATGACTATAAAGATGTATTATCAATTAGCTTTCATACGGAGTTTGAGAGATATATACTTTTACAGCAGGAGGAAACTAGTATTTGCAGTGCATTCTTCCCTACATGTTGATTAGTCTCTCCCTTTTCTGGATTATTTTTGTTGTTGATGTGTTGATGAGTAATGAAATTTGTTATTAAATTTTTCTGAAACCCAAGCAAAATGAATTGTCACCTCTTTAAATTCTTTTTTTCCATTTCCATTTCAGTCTTCTGTTCACTGAAATGTGATTTAACTGTGTTCACACTAATATTTGTGGCTTTCTTTTGATAAGCTGTAATGACAATCCAGACATAATGACATGGATTCATAAAACAAAATTTTTAGTTTTTACTTTCTTTTATCATTTAAAATGAGTTAAATGGATTCTCTTTTTGATACTAGAAAAACGGAATTTAGGCAAGAACATACAAAAGCAACAACATTTAAAATATTTTATAAATCAGAAATCCATTCAAACTGACTTGGACAGTGATTCCTTATAATTAGTTACTATTTAACATCATCAATCTTTGCGTCTTGTTAAGCTGGTCCTTGTAATCTACAGATGAAAATTGGAAGTATTAAATCGCACCATGTAACCTATGAAAATTCAATAAATTCTGGTTGATCTTCTTCCAAGATAAAGGTTAAATCTTTATGTTATGAATGTCACAACTTGTGAATGTCTATAAATGTATATTACACATACATGATTATGTTTGTTTAGGTGGATATGGTTATAATCGGGGAAGAATTAAGATATCAGTAACACCCTGGAATTGCTTTTCAACTATTTTTAAATTGCCGATAGATGTCACAGATGTATTTGTTCAATGTTGAAAGGGGAAAAATTAGTGTCTGGGGAAGAAGGCCATAGTATAGGCTGTGCATTGGCAGGCAACATTATGCTTCCAGCTGGGCATTTGACTATGAATTCAGTTTTAATCTTCTTTACTGTGTTTTCTTAAACCACAGAAATGACTCATGCCTATTAAAAATTAAAACAGATAAACATATAAAGCAAAATACAAAACTGCCCCCCTTCTCACCCATGTTTACAGTTACCTACTATTACCAGTCTAATGTGTTCTGTGCATATACAAACATAAATGATATACGTATTCACATTTTTATCAGAAAATGAATTCAGTCCATTGTTCTGCTTTGCAACTTTTGTTTCACTTACAATATATCACGTGTATCTTTCCAGTGCACCTCTTTCCTCATTTAACTTTGTTCATGCTGTCTTTCTCTGTAGATGATCTACACTTTTAGCTAGTCATATCACTCAGCCTTTCCCTTTAGGGCTTCTAGGTTTGGGCTCATGCTGAGGCAGACTTTTCCCACCCCGGGGTTTTAAAATAATTTTTGATATTTTCTTCAAGCTTTTAAAAATGGATGTGTGTGTGTGTGTGTGTGTGTTTAATCTTTCTGGTATATACTTTTGTGAATGGTATGACGTGGAAAAGTAATTTTACTTCTTTTTCCCAGCCCCAGACATTGAATATACCATACTTTACTCCACTTTTTGGCAGAACTTTTCATACGTTATTAGTCATAGGTTATTTACAAAATGTTATTCTTCTCGTAAATGGAAACATTATTGCTCTTTGCTATCTTTGAGGTATGGTACGCTGAGGACTGTTGGTGAAGTCTTCTATCACAGAACCATCTTTATCAAAGATGAAATTAATAGTATTGGGTTGCGATATTAGTAATTCATTGTGCTATGAGTCTATTATGAAGACATTTAAAACACCAGAAGAATAAATACAATACACTTTGGGCTATGAGAATGCCACAATTTTTAAAAGCAATCTAGCAGATGACGTCGTGAGTATGACAACACTTCACTCAAAACAATCTTAACATTGTTCCGGGACACATGACAGTGAATGAACTAATCAGTGTATTTGAGAATTTGAAAATCTGCTAGCTAATTCAATCTCCCAAGCAGGAGAGTTATTATATATTGTTATATGTGCCTTGGAACCAAAGATAAGACACTGGTCTTTTTGAAACATGGAATGAACTGTTAGATCTAGAGCGCTTGAACACTATGAATTAAGACATTTCAGTGGACACTAACAAGATAAAGTGATATTCTTATTAAAAAAACCCGAAGAGATAGAGATTTAAACTTACAAAACACACTTGAGTACAAAATAAGAAATGATATAATAAAAAATGAAATAAGTATCAGTGAGACATTGACATTGAGACAATATTAGGTCACAGTCCAGCTTTTTCTTGCCCAACTTCTGGGTTCTATTTGTTTATATATTTTATAATTTGTTAGTATTTTGATTTTACATTTATTGTTAGTATTTGTTTGTAATTCTCTTTTATGTACTATCTTTAACAGGTTTTGGTTTTAGGGTTGCTAGCTTTATAAAATTCATTAGTGAACTTTCAATTTTTTTATTCTTTTCTAAAAGGTAGAGCTTGAATAACATGGGTATTATCTCTTCTTTAAAGGTTAGATAGAACTGAACTGTGAAATCATTTGATCCTGATTCCTTGTTTAGTAGTAGGTCTATAAACACATTTCCAATCCTATCTCTAGTAATTTGTCTACTCAAATCCTCTATTTCTTGAGTTAATGTTGGTGACTTCTATTAGGAAATCATCCATTACCTCTAGAGTTTTTAATTTGATGTCATAGATTTGAACATAAAATTATAATTCTTTCAATCACATCTATTTATGTAGTTAAACCCTTTATAATTCACAATTTGTATACTTTTGCTTTCCCTCTGTTTTCACTTAGTTGTACTCATGAAGAGTGTTTTATTGGTTTTTTCAAAGAACCAGCTTTGAATTTATCACTTTTACAATTGTTTGTCTTGGTCATTATTTTTATCTTTAATTTTCCTAATTTCTTCTATTTTTGGATATGTTCTGTTGTATTTATCTAATTCTTCAAGAAGAGTACTTATTTCCTTTATTTATGGTCTTCTTGAACAATAATGGTAGTTAAGACCTTATTTTTCTCTGAGAACAGCTTTTGTCATGCCCCATAGGCTTTGATATGATGTATTCTCTTTTTCTTTTCTTTTCAGATAGCTTGCAACTTTAGTTTTAATTTTCTCTTTGACCCAGTGGTTATTTTAGAGAACAATACTATATTATCAGGCAGTTAAATTTTATGGTGATCTTTTATTATTTATTTCTAATTTTGTTAAGATAAGAGGGTGTGCCTATAAATTTTCTAATTTTTAAAAATATATTTCCTTCTTCATTTACTCTGAGTTTTTAAATTTGAAAATTGTGTTTTTCTGGGCGCCTGGGTGGCTCAGTTGGTTAAGCGACTGCCTCCGGCTCAGGTCATGATCCTGGAGTCCCTGGATCGAGATCCCTGCTCGGCAGGGAGTCTGCTTCTCCCTCTGACCCTCCTCCCTCTCATGCTCTCTGTCTCTCATTCTCTCTCTCAAAATAAATAAATACAAAAAATCTTTAAAAAAAATTTTGAAAATTGTGTTTTTCAATCCCCAAAATTATTTTTCTTGCTTTAATTATAGTCCTTTCAGTGCTATCATTATTTATTTTGCTAAAGATTATACCTGACTCCTTCAATAGTTCTATTTCGGTGGGAGATAATATAAATTTTTTGGTGCACAGACAATGGATATGAATAGTCACTTATGGAAGTGATACAAGGGATTGGGGAAATACAGAGAATGAAAAACTCCAAGGAAGGTGTTCTGGGAGCTATCCCTTGGAGGCAGGACTGGGCTTTGACTGAAATTTGATCGAAATCAATTTTATGATTCTGTGTCTATTCTTCACCATATCCACATTTTCTTCAAACACTGCTTCTTAGACATACCTAGTGATGCCTATCTAATACTACATTAACAATTTTTCAGAAAGTGTCTTGAGATTGTTACCCATAATTTATCTGTTCTCTTACTCTGTCTCCCCAACCGCTTGCAGATCTGTAATGTATCAAATTAGCAGTGTTTCAACTATTGTGTGTTGATTACTTCAGTTGTAGTGCTCAGAATTTAGTGTCTAGGTGAAAGCACAGTGCAAGCAAGTAAGTTGTGTAGAGACCATGGCTTGACCAATAGCTGGTACCATTTCCCAATGTGTTCACCCTGCTTATATCTCCAAGGGAAACCTCTAAAGAGTGAGAAAGAAGAAAACATACAATTATTTACTAAGGGATGGGGTGACAGACATTGAAAACTATTGAACATTTCTGAGTACTTTCTCACTGGAATCCTGGAAAGAGAGTGCCATTTCCTCCTTCCCTTGAAGATGGTTTCTTATTTGTTCTCAAAGTAGAGATTTAATATTGCACTGGGGATTATACATATATACATATTGACATGTATGCATAAATGGTAGAATATTATATTTTAGATATATATGTATGGTCTTGTTTTTCTCTTCCACAGTATTTCTTACTTTTCCCATTTTCCTCATTCCTTTCTTCAGGAAAGATTTATGGAAGGGATTTGGTAGCCCAAACATATGAAAATATCATACTAGGTTTGGTTGGTGCTCTGCACTAAGATGTATCTGGTTACAGTTTTATTTCTATTCAGCGTGCTGAAGACTCAGTGTGTTCAATATGAGTATTCATGTCTTCCTTCAGTTGCGCCACAATCTCCTCAAGTATTTGCCTTTTCCTCATTCGCTCTAGTCTCTCTTTATGGAAAAGCTTCCAGGCATATTTTAATATTTTCCATTCTTTCTGCCATGTAGTCTAACTTCTCATTCATACTTTGCACCACTTCATCTTTTTGGGCTCCATTCTCGGTAATTTTTTGAGATTTATGTTTGAATGTCTCAATTATCTCCTTGCTTTTGAGTTTACTTCTGCTAGGGCCATACACATTTCACCAGTTCCAGATTACTTTTATGTTAATTTATATCCTTTGGGTTATCAAACATGTAGGAAGTGTGACTTCAACCCCACACCTATGGGTGGAGTTGGCCTGGGTTCTGATTGCTCCCAGGGGACTCTTTATTCACATCCTCACATAAAAGATAAGCAAAAAAGTATTTTTGCTTTGAGGAAAGGTTTTCTAGTCATCATTTCATGTCCTGATTGTGCTTCTGTGGGGCCTGGGTTTAGACAGGAGCTAAGTACCACCTTCCCATCTTCCACTGCCTAGAAGCATTGCCTTCAGTCACTAGGTGGGATTAAAACCCTGGCCTCCAGCCCTTAAAACCAATATCCGTCTGTTTGTCTTTATCTCATGCTCATTGTTGTTAGTTCCTTCTTTGATTCTTGGGGATTTCCATTTCATGATTATGAGCTTGACTATATTACTACTTTTAGAGGGGGTGCATATTCTATCATTTCTGTGAGAGTTTCAGGTGGGAAGAGGAAAGCTTTCCAAGTCAGTTCAGTCTGCCACTGACTGGAAGCTCCTCAGAAGTTTTGTTGGATTGGATTGTGTAGGTGACTTATGGTCATGTTTCTTAAGAGACATTTGGGGGTGGGGGATGGCTGCTTTATATTACTTCTAGCCAGGATAGTATAGGGTCTTACCAAGCTTTCTATATCCCAGCATAGCAATGGCAGGAAGCAGCAGAGAAAGTCTTGATCAATGAAGGATGACACAGAAGCACGTAGAGAACCACCATGTCTGAAGGGGCCACAAAGAAGGAATGAGAATGGTGAATTTTGTAGATGATACCAGAACCATATGGACTCCTTCCTTCCAACACTCTAAGGCACTCAATAAGCATCCTTGAACTTAGACACAACCATGGAGAAAATAGTAGATCTTGAACTCATACCATTTCGGTCACCCCCATGTAGTGAGACTACAAAATGGAAATTATGAGTATTGTTATAGAAAATAAAAGTTGGATGTCTTAAACACTTGAATTTGTGGACTGAGATTTATTCCAATTACATAAAAATATATACACGTATATGTACATACAGATTTGTGTATGGATAGTAAAACAGCTGGAAGGATGTGCCACAGTGCATTAGCTATGGCATTCTGTAGCAGTGAGATTACAAGATATTTATATTGTCTTTTTTGCCTAGTTAACTATATTCCTTATTTCAGCTCAAATTTCATTTCCTTAGGGAATTTTTCCTGTCCCTTATCTACTGCCTCAGAGTGTGTCTTGATCTTCTGGTATATACTCTTGTATGTCTGTGTTCTAGTCCTTCTCTGTACTTACATGAAATTTTAATTATACATACACTTGTGTGATTTCTTGGTTAATGTATATCCTCCCCTAGTCTGTGAGCTTCATGAGTGCAAAGACCTAGTCTGTTTTTCTCACCATTGTATTCTCATTAACTTGCATAGGCACTCAATAAAGACTTATTAAATGAATCGATGAATACATTTCTGCATTGTTTGAATATTTTTATAATGACTGTATGAATTTCATTATTAAAAGAAAATAAAAATCATCCTATTTAGAAAAAAATATAAAAAGACCTTCTATTTAGTCTGATTCCTAATATTTTTGAGGGTCATACTTACCATCAAGAATATGTTGGTAAGGGCGCCTGGGTGGCTCAGTTGGTTAAGCGACTGCCTTCAGCTCAGGTCATGATCCTGGAGTCCCAGGATCAAGTCCCGCATCGGGCTCCCTGCTCGGCGGAGAGTCTGCTTCTCCCTCTGACCCTCCCCCCTCTCATGTGCTCTCTCTCATTCTCTCTCTCTCAAATAAATAAATAAAATCTTTTAAAAAAAAAAGAATATGTTGGTAATTATACCCTCTCTCTCCTGAAAAATCCACATACACCCTCCCTTCACTCCTAACACATAATCTTGCATATACTTTCCAGGTATTTTTTACTTGACCAGAGAACACTTGGTCTAGGTTAATCAGTATGGTCAGTGGGTGAGAATTCCTTGGATACTGGCCTAAGCCTGGCTGAGGGGCCACCAGGGAGGTGGTGGAATGGCAGGCAGCAACCTTGCGGCAAGGCTAGGTTCCTCCTGGGTTCTCTGGAGTTTGGGGATGAGACACTCACCAAGCTGCACTCCTCAGGCCAGGTAGGAGGCAGCAGAAATGATTCAGGGCAGCTTCTACTCAGGCATCATGAATAAAGAATGAGAACAAGTCGGTCTGGGGTGGCTCTCCCCACAGCAGTCACTTCTCTGGGCTTCATGGAAACCCTCAGCTGCAGAGGTCTAGGAGGGATCTCATTCCGGTTTCCATTGGTAGGAACAGTACTCCCATCTATGCTGGGACTGGAATTATCTCTATGGGAAACTGGGCCAAAGGCCTTTACTCAGGTTACCACCTTGGTCACCTGTCCATATATATCCTTGGAGCGAGCAACAGAGTCAGGTGCCGGAATGCAAAGAATGAGAGACTCTGGAAGGGGTCAGGAGACAGCACCTTCCCTCACTCTTGACAGAACAGGGAGGATCAGACCATCTCTGCATCCCTCACATTCCACACACTCATCTGTCTCAGCCTCACAGCTCTTCCCTTTGCCCAGAGTTGAATCTCATTGTTCAGAAGGATTCAGTCTAAAAACGTATTAAATATCTTAGCATGTTTGGGGCACCTGGGTGGCTCAGTCGTTAAGCGTCTGCCTTCGGCTCAGGTCGTGATCCCAGGGTCCTGGGATCGAGCCCCACACTGGGCTCCCTGCTCCGTGGGAAGCCTGCTTCTCCCTCTCCCTCTGCCCCTCCTTGTGTTCCCTCTCTCACTGTGTCTCTCTCTATCAAATAAATAAATAAATAAAATCTTAAAAAATATATCTTAGCATGTTTATTAACACTTCTTCCACAGAAAAATGATACAATTGTAAAACTTAATTGGACTAAGGCACTTGAAATGATGCCTCCCTCTTAGGTTGGAAAAGTTTTTTGTGACAGATTTTTCCTCATATTGATTCCTCGTTAATTTTTCAGTGAAAATAATTTCATTGCCTTTTTTCTGATGGTGAAAATGATTGCATGCCGATGCTTATTTTTAAAGGCTGAAATAGTACTGGAAAATATGAGGAAGTAAGTAAAAATCTCATGTTCACTCCCTGCCTCTATTGTTGACCTCCTGGCCACTCTCTAGCCCCAATCCCTGCCCACTCCACCCCCATTTTGGTGGATGGACATGGTTACTAGGGAAATGGAAGATAGTACTGCTTGTGGGATTGAAGATGGAGGGAGGGGCCTGGGGCCTGGGGATCAGGCCAGCCCTGAGAACGGTATCAATGAGTCTGAAGACATTTGAAAACTGTTACCCAGAGTCAGGAAAAGCGGGCACTGTGACCAGCATCCTGAATGATTAATACCTTTTAATTACATTATATAATTCCTTTTACAAAACTCTTGCACACTGTGGCAGACGATGTTAGTGCTCTTCAATATCCATGCTGTCTGCTTCCTCTTGGGCACCCAGCTAGATGACAATGATCAGTGTCCCTTATGAATGAGTGTGGCCATAAGACTGAATTTAGTCCAATGAGTTGCAAGAGTGATGTATATCATTTCCAGATTTTCCCTCGTAAAGCTCCATGCCTGATCTGTGCTCTTTTTTCCTATCTACCAGTTGAATGGAGAGAACTCTTGAGTATCTAGTGTAGAGTGGAGTACAACATTGAATGAGCACAGGACCCTGAAGGGCCATGTGCAGCAGAACCTCTCTGCTGACCTGGAACATTAACCTGAGACTCTTTTGTGAGTGGGAAATAATTTTTTTTTTAAAAGTCATACTATTTTTGAGTCTTTTGTTACAACAGTTTTAGCTTTTTATGCTACTACAACATTAATAGATTTTTTCCCTTCCTTTTTTTTTTTTTTGGACTTCAGATGATGAGGATTATAACTCTATTCCTTTCTTCATATCATACCATCTGCATTGGTCTAATCAAAACCTTTCCCTCTTTTCTTTATTCATTCATTTACTACTTTGTTTCTTCTCATCTCTATTCCTCACTTCCATTCTTCTCCCCAGAGGCTACTGTTCTAATATATTTGACGTGTATATTTTTGTTTGAGTTCTTTTTAAACTTACATTATTTTGTATGCATGAATTTTTGTGTATTTTTATTTTGGGGGGCAATGCTTGATATACACCATACATTTATTAGTAAATATCCCTCTAAAATCAGCAACAATATTAAAAAAAAATCATTGCACTACTTGGTCAAGCAGAACTAGCAACTTTCATTTTTAAAAAAGTACAAATCTGTTATAAATTTCAATCAGTATACACATATATAATACAACATACTAGTTATGTTAAATGTTACAAGCCAATGTGAATCCAGTGGAATGGAAAAAAAAAAACTACACATCTAAGCTTTAAGAACCATTTTTTTCTCTCTATATTAACATTTTCTCAAATACATATATGGGAAAAATGAGGTAACTGTAAAATGTGCAAGGAACAGAGACCCCCACCTCCAAATTACATCACAGAACACAGATGCTGGGCCCAGCTAGAGCTGGGGGCTGGGGGCTGGTGCCCACTGTCGGACCCGAGGCCAGAAGTTGGTAAATAAATGAGTAAACAATGACAAGCCCCCACCACAGGAAATCATCGGTAACATGATGGCATCTATAGCAAGGTCGGCAAATCACAAACATCCTAAATAATTGTTTTATAAATTGTTTTTGGATGATTTTGTTAAAAATGGTGTTTCCCTGCCCTCCCCACCCCCATAGCTGCTCATTGGAATCATTGCTGCAGCCGAGGCACAATCCGTGAGCCTGTTTCTGCCTGCCCCAGGAACTTTAAGGATTCTGACAACCTTTTGTTGGGGGTGGGAAAAGGTCGGGGGTGGGAGAGGGTGCTTCCCTGTGCAAAGCACGTGGGCTTCCAACACTGCTATAAATATAGAAACGTCGCCTGGAGTTACATACAGTAAGACTGGGTTCTCCATGGGGGTAGGGCCAGGCTGATGGGGCCCCATGGCAGGCTGAGGGGAGGAAGGGAGCCAGGGCCACCTTGGGGAGAAGACGGTGGTTGGAGCATCCCTGAGGCTGCAGGCGCCAAGGGCTGCCTGCTAGGATGTGCCGGCCCCACACGTGGTTCATTCAGGGCAGCACCCCCAGCTGGGGGTTGGACAGGAACCAAGCAGGGAGAAGGTGGGAGCCCAGCCAGACCCTATGGTGGGCCTCCACCAGACCTTGGAGGGCAGGGCTCAGGCTGGGAGGGGGCTCCACGCCCTCCCTGGTCGCCGTCCTCCGGGGACTTCCTTGGAGGAGACTCGCCCAGTCAGATGCCAGACGGGCCCTGGCTGGAGGGAGAAATGCCCTGAAAAGCATATGGTCCCGGAAGGCTCTGGGGACGTGTGCAGTACAGTGCATGGAATTATCAATCAGCTGAACACAAACCCCCGCCCCCGCCCCCGAACTCCACCCGTGACTGCCAGCTGCCCAGCCCAGCCCCAGCCCCAGCCGCACAGGTGCATGCAGACCAGGCGGGCACCACCAGACCATTCCCTCCTCCCGGGCACTTGGCCCTGGTTGGTCCCTATATCCCCCCTTTAAACCAAAAGAAAACAAATTGGTGAAAAAATCCACACCCACAAATCCTACCCTCGATTTTGGGCCAAATGAATAAACAATAACTGCTGCTCCTCACGTTCATGCAAAACAACAGAGAGGAGAGATGGGGCGTGGGTCTGGCCCCCATCACTGCCAGGGAGGGATGGCCACCAGGAACACAGGAGGTCACTCTCCCCCGCATGGCCCAGGCCCTCTCAGGATACATGCCACCCCAGCTCAGGGCCTGTCTCCCGTCTGTTCAGGAGGCTGGCTCTGATTTTTTAATTTAGATAATGGTATGGTGCTATGGTTCTCATTGTCTCCCCCCCGCCAGCAGTATCAGTGTTCTGGAATATATAAAATAAATGGAATGGTTGGGCCACCGAGAATATGTATAGTTAATTTGATTAAGTACTGTCAGATTGTTTTTTGGAATAGCAGCTCCAGTCTAAAATCCAATCGGCTGTGTGTGTTGAAGTTCCTATATCTCTGGACCCTTGCTAACAATTGGCTTGTCCCAGCTTTCTAATTGCTGGCCAAATAGGTGTAAATATATTTGTAATTGTATTTTAATTGATAATTATCTGACTAATAATAAGTTTGAACATCTCTTCATGTATTTCTGAGCATTTTAATTTTCCTCTTCTCTGAGTATACTTTTTACATATTTTGCAAATTTAGAGTGGTGTGTTCCTGTCCTTTTCGATTTGCAGGAGTACTTTATGTATGCTAGACATTAATTCTTTGTTAGTTTAACATATTGCAAATATGTTTTTTTCTATCTGTTATCAATTAACTTTGTTCCCGGTGTCCTTTATTGAATAAAAATTCTCATTTTTTATGTAATCAAATCTATTAATCTTTTTTGCTTTACGGTA